AAAAAAAAAAAAAAAAAAAAAAAAAAAAAAAAAAAAAAAAAAAAAAAAAAAAAAAAAAAAAAAAAAAAAAAAAAAAAAAAATAGTAAGACATGCCCATAGGTTGGAGTTGGTCTTAAGCGTTTTTCTTAGATCTAAGACTTTCGGTTGTGAATTAAGGTATGAAATCTTTATATGTTCATCTAGAGGGAATTCTCTACAGGATTTGTGAAGAAAGGTAGTCGAAATTTTGGTCCAAAGGTGGAGATATAAGAGTCCTTCCAAGAACTGTAAGGATGTTAATGGATCTTGTTCTAGTGCTCATAACTTGGTCTTTGGTGGCATTTAAATTCCAAGAAAAATAGTAGGATGTAGATGGAACTATGATCTAAAACTTTACTACAGAGAACGACTTGAATCTGATCCAAAATATAAAGATATGAAAAAGAGAAACCAGTATGAAATCTAATCGAAAATTATTATTCATCTGTAGGAAGAGAGAGACGGATACGACAAGCCACATGTCGATCGACGAGTGGAATTGTGCGTACCCCCTGGTGGAGGACATAAGTCAAGGGTCGGGTAGAGCCATGCGTCGAATGTTGCATGAAGCATCACAACTCCACCCGATTTGCGACACACGATTTCTGTTGTAATTCTGACCCGCAACCCGTTGGCTCAACCAACCTGCGGTCCAACCCAAGTGAATCGAACCAGCTAACCCACAGCTTACGACCCAGTGACGTGTTGTGCATGTAGATGTCGACTCCTTGGCTCGTCAGCTCAACTTGGCTCCGTAGTGGCTCAGCAAAGCTTCTCGGCTGAAAACTCGGTTATTCGGCTTAGATTACACAATTTTATACGGTTCCTTATATTTTCGTCTTGTTTCCATAAATAAGATGGACATTCAAATAGGACACAACTCGCGACAATACTTGGAGAAGCTTCGAGGGACGAAATTCAACCAAGCAACTATGTGCGCGCGCGTAATAAGATGTTTTTAATTTAAATGTTTATTTATTTTATTTAATTTATTGTTGTGTCATTTTAAAGATGTCTTCAAACACATAAGGCCATGAGAGTATTGGGTAAAGTTTATGTTATGAAGATGTTTAAATGAAATATTTTCGCATTTAGCATATTGGGTCTGGTTAGAACCTTTTTAGACTCGACCCAACTCATGGAGTTCTAAATTTTTGTCCGCTCAAACATTTAACCCAATTGAACTTTAAATTTGTTGAGATAGGTTAGTTTCTACGTTGTTTGAGTCATTTATTCGTATTTATATTTTTAATAAAAGTATAATGTAAAATTTCAAACATTTAATTAAAACTTGTAACTGAATGTCCAATTTTTAAAAATTGCCTTTTTAGATAATTAATATTGTTTTTAAAGTTGATGAACCAATAAATAATTAAAAAATAATTAAAAAATAATTACGAAATTATATATAAAAAAAAATAATTATAATGCATATATAATTATATAAAAAAATAATCTATACACAATCATATTTTAACACTTTACTTTTTTATTATTTTTATTTTTTGTAATTTTATATGAAAATTAAGATACGAAAATTAGAAAGGAATATTGGGTTAGTTGTGAGAAATAGTAGAACGCTCAACGAATCAGGTCTTAATAGGCTTAATTTTTGGGCCGAACTCAATGGTTGGGCCCACTAGCTCAAAGCTCATATGATGGGCCCACTAGCTCAAAGCCCATATATTGGGCCCACTAGATTAATAGGCTTTCTCTATGCTCAGTTGGGCCCACTTCTCAAAGCCCATATGTTGGGCCCACTATCTTAATAGGCTTTCTCTATGCCCATTGGGCCCACTATCTTAATAGGCTAGATGTTCAGTTGGGCCCACAACACCCTTCCAACTTTAGAATATATTCTATTAGTGTTAAATAGTTCCCCATATTTTTTTAATTGTTTATAAACAAAAATATTTTTTTTATTGATTTAAAAAATATATATACAAAAAAAATTCTTTTAATCTAATAAATATTTTTTTAATATATAAATTTAAATGATATGGCTAATTGCCTTGAAGATCTACAAAAATATTCACAATTTACCAATAAAAAATACATAATATTATTTTTTTTTTTGTTTTAATTTCTTCTTAAAATCTGACATTTTTTTAAAATAGTTAACTCAATAAGAAACTTTAATTAGTATAAAACAAAAAAAAAATTATAATTACTATTTTTAATTTAATTACAATATACAAATATAAACTAATAAAAATACTAATGCTATATACTTTTTTTTTTTTTTTCTCATCCTATTAAATTTAAATGGAAATGAATTAAGAATATTTTTAAAATGTTATTAAATTCTTTTTAATTATTAATTCTATTGAATGAAATCAAAACTTATCAAGTCTCTCTAGCATAAAGTTTTAGATTCGTAGTTGCTAAATGAATTGCATCAACGTGTATATTAACTTAATATAAATTTCGATTACGTAAATAATTCATCAAACGTTCGAATCATCCGACTCAAGCTTATTTTGTACAAAAAAAAATCGATTACGTATAGAACCCATCAAACGTTTGAATCGCCCGACTCGAGTTTACCTCGAACCCAAATTGAACTCAATATAAATTTCGATTACGTACAGAACCCATCAAACGTTTGAATCTCCCGACTCAAGTGTACCCTATGCCCGAACTTAACTCAATATAAATTTCAGTTGCGTACAAACCCCATCAAACGTTCAAATCTCTCGACTCAAATTTACCCTATACCTGAACTTAACTCCATACAAATTTCGATTACATACACAACCCATCAAAAGTTCAAATCCCCTAACTCAAATTTACTTTGTGTCTAAACTTAACTCAATATAAATTTCGATTACGTACAAAACCCATCAAACATTCAGATCTCCTGACTCAAGTTTATCCTATACCTGAACTTAACTCAGTACAAATTTCGATTACATACAGAACCCATCAAACGTTCAAATCTCCCGACCCATACTGTATGCCCGAACTTAACTCAATATAAATTTCAATTACACAGAAACAATCCAACATTCAAATCTCCCAACTCAAGTTTATCCTATACCTGAACTTAACTCAATACAAATTTCGATTACACACAGAACCCATCAAACATTCGAATCTCCCGACTCAAGTTTATCCTATACCCGAACTTAACTCAATACAAATTTCAATTACATACAAAACCCATCAAACGTTCGAATTCCCCGATTCAAATTTACTTCGATCCCAAATATAACTTAATATAAATTTCGATTGCCTACCGAACCCATCAAACCCTAGAATCTCTCGCCTCAGTTTACTTTTTGCAGCTTGAAACCTGAAACCGAGGAACATTCTAGCCTTTTCTTTTCTTATATTAATGTAAAGGGAATAATTGAGAGTTGGTGAAGAAAAAAGACAGCTTCAAAAGTGGGTATGCTTAGCCTATAAACACACAAACGAGAACTCTCTAGATGCTCCACTTTTCCAACTGCTCCTTTCTTCTTCAATACAACTAGAATCTTTCCTTTTCATTGTCAAAAAACACGAGCAAATAGTGATAAAACAAAGAGAATCCCATAAACTCCATATCTTCTTCTTAAACACCTTCTTCTTCTCTTCATTTAAGCTCGTGTTGATCCGAAGATATGAGCGATCCCAAATATGCCTATCCGTACCCACCTCCTCCAGGTATTACGTGCCGTTTGTCTGTTGAGCTATGCTTAAGTTGATCGCTTTCTAGGTCTCGTTTGATTTAGCGATTTGGATTATATGATCTATTTTCAGGAGGGTATTATCAAGGACCGCCCGTGATGGCACCGCCGCAATACGCTGCACCGCCACCGAGAAGACAACCGGGGTTCTTAGAAGGATGGTATGTCAAAAAGGTTTGTTGTTTGTTGAATGGTTTAGGGTTAGAATTTGGCTAACAAAGGGTTTAACTTTGTGTGATGCAGCCTTGCAGCTCTGTGCTGCTGCTGCCTCCTTGATGAGTGCTGCTGTGATCCTTCCATACTCCTTGTTACTTGATATGAGCTTTGCTTGCCTAATTTGTAGCTGTGAATTGGGTTCTTTTCTTTTATTTTGCCTTCTTTAGGAGTGTGTTTGAGTTTGTATAAGCTTTGGAAATAATATTGTTGATTGGTGTCTAGAACAAAGCTTTGTCTTGATGTAAAGTGTAGAGTTTAATTACGAAAGTCGTGAAATTTGTCGATCATTTTGATTTTTCGACTAAAAATTTTGAGGTTAAACCGCTCCTTCTAGGTTTCAAATTCAAGAAACAAAAACGTTCTTGTATCGTTTGCTTAAGAAAATTGTGAGATATCACGTTGGTTGGAAATGAGAACGAAACATGGTTTATAAAGGTATGAAAATTTCTCATTAGTGAACGCGTTTTAAAAACCTTAAGGGGAAGCCCGAAAGGGAAAACCCAAAGAGGACAATGTTTGTTAGTAGTGGGCTTTGGCCGTTACAAATGCTTAGAGTTAGACATGAGTCGATGTGTCAGCGACAAGGCTGAGCCACGAAGGGGGTGGACACAAGGCGGTGTGCAAACAAGGACACTGGGCCCTGAAAGGGGGTGGATTATGACATGAGGCGATTTTCCAGCAGAAGGTTGAGCCCCGAAAGGGTGGACATGAGGTAGTGCCAAGAAGGATGCTAGGCCCAAAAGGGGGTGGTTGTGAGATCTCACATTTATTTGGGGATAAGAACGAAGCATTGTTTATAGGGATGTAGAAGGAGAGTGGACACGAGGCAGTGTGCCAGCAAGGACGTTGGGCACTGAACGAGGGTGGATTGTGAGATCTCACATCGGTTGGGGAGGAGAACTGATACATTCTTTATAAGGGTGTGGAAGGGGAGTGGACAAGAGACGGTGTGCTAGCAAGGACGCTGGACCTTAAAGTAGGATGAATTATGAGATCCTACGTTGGTTTTATGAGACCCCACGTCGATTCGGGAGAAGAACGAAACGTTCTTTATAAGGGTTTGGAAACCTCTTCCTAGGAAGCGTTTTAAAAACCTTGAGAGGAAGCGGGAAAGAGAAAGCCCGAAAGAACAATATCTGCTAGCAGTGGGCTTGAGTAGCTACAAAAATTGTTGTATGGGTAGAATAAGAGTAGGTTTAGAATGATATTTGCGACCGGTTTAGATTCAAAACCTTGAATTACATACCGTCACGTAAAACTCAATAGTAGAAATAAGTTCCTCGGCCTTTCATTCTTTCACTAAAGTTGTTTTTCTTCTCCCTACGAAGGTGTAGAAATAAGTTTTATCGGGTAACGGGAGACGGTCGGGTTTTACAAAAAAGTACCATTTTCTTACTCGAAAATTAGAGCATTCTTTCGACTCCTTCACCAAAAATACTCTTTATATCGACAACTACACCCACAACATTAATAATTATCAAAGCATACCTAAATAAAGAACAAAATTTTATATTAAATATTTAAAATATCAGTTATAAATAAACCCATTAAAATTGATTAAATCTAAATAATAGATTGAAATTACAATTAATTAGTAATAATTAAATAATTAATTAATTTATATTTTTATTATTTCTCTCATGTAAACAATTTTAAAGTTTTTTTTGAGTAATAATATATTGTATTTTAAGGATTGAAAATCTAAAAACATTTTTCAAATATTAATTACATTTCCTTGATTTTTTTTTTTATTATTATTTTTTTTACTTTTAAATTTTAAAATTGGTTAAAAAATACCTTAATTTTAAAACTAGTCTTTAAAAATCATTTTTCATTTAAAATAAAAAATGGAAAAACATGATTACTAATTTATAAAAATTTGAAAGAAATTGTCGTGAATTTATTACATTTTAGCCCCTAAAATTTTATATTTTATATTTTAACCCCTAAAATTTGATTTCCGTATCATCTTAATATATCCCATCAATTTTTTAAAAATAATTTTATTATAAAAGAAATAATATTAACTTGCATTAACTAGTGTGGAGATTTAAAATTCAAGACCAAAATGATACTATAATAATATATATATATATATATATATATATATATATATATATTTATTTATTTATTTATTTATTTATTTATTTATTTTTTTGCCATAGTTTACAACTATATATTAAAATTTAGATTATTGTTATCATTCACTTCATTTTAAGAAATATCTTTAAGATTATTTATTTATTTAAAATTATTTGTGTAATCAAATTTTACATTGTCACGATAATTTCAATAATATTACTATAAATAATATCACATATACATTTAAATGAACTTCACTTGTAATTTGAAATTATAATAATAGTTTTGAATTTAATATGTTTTAATAAAAAAAAAAAAAAAAAATATATATATATATATATATATATATATATTAAAAAAAACTCGCAGAAAATAGGATTTTTAAAGCCAAAAATCCAATTTTAAATAAATTAAAAGAATGAAAATTTCCAAATATTTGTTTTGAAAAAATCCCGCGAAACAAAAGCGACTAAAATATCATCCCAAACAAAAAAAAAGTGAACATTTCCCGGTCTTTTTCACTATGAATTTACCAAATTACCCCTCTCATGGCCCACCGATCGTCTTTCACACAGGGGTCCACGTCATCAAAGTCTGGGACCTACTAAACATGAAACTCAAATGCACGTCACATTCACCCCAAATTCAAACGCAACTGATTTAAATTTATTCCGATTTTACAATCCAACGATATAACTTTGGCCACGTGCTTAAAACAGACAACATCCACCGTCCATTACAGCTCATTCGGTCAGCCCACCGAGCAGCAAGCCACAGCGTATCCACCGTAAAATCGGTTGGATGAGTATCATCGACGGCCATCACTCTGCCCGAAAATTTCACGGGCAGATCTCAACACCTTTAAGAACCCCCCTTACCTCCCTTTGTTCTTCGCGCTCTCAGAAATTAGGGCTAAATTTTCCTTTCCAAACCCTAATTTCATTTCCTTATGGAATTTTTTTTCCATTTTTGTTTGAATTTTTTTCTGAGGGTTAGATTTGGCGCGGAGTAGAAGAGAATCAAGAGCTCGTGATGTTTGATTTTCCCGCCTTCTGTTCTTGTTGATATTTCATTCTGATTTCTGGGTAAACAAATTTTCTCGCGGAGCTGCACCGGATTTTATTTTGTGACGAACGGTCTTTGAGTTGCTGGTTCCTTTCATGGCGTCTGCTGTTTTAGCAAATCATGAACCTAGTTGGCCGACGGGCAAACGCAACGGCGATGGTGGAGGAAGCGCGTTTATGTCGAGAGTTTCGTTCTCGAACCCTAAATCTAAACCTAAAATGAAAAAGAGGAAAACTAATGGTGAAGTTAACAACTTCCACCAGATGAGTGAAGAACTGGCCAACGTAACAACTCTATCTTCCTCGGACAATGGCTCTTCCATCGATCGTCACCATGGATCTTCGAACTCCGAGTACAGCCAATATGTGAGTTTCAATGTAACTTCATGTTCTGGAAGGGATTTAATTGATCTGAAGAAACGGTTGCTGGCGGAGCTTGAACAAGTTAGGCGATTCAAGAATCGCATTGAGAGTGGTGACGTTGGTTTTGGGCCTAATTATTTCAAGAAATCGTCCGAGGCCAGGGGGATTAACAAACGGCCGAAGGTGCTACCTAGTTTCGGGAAAGATTTGCAGGTTTCGAATTCAATTGAAGTGAGAAATTTGATGAAATCTTGCTCTCAAATCTTGAACAAGTTGATGAAGCAGAAGTATGGCTTGATCTTCAACAAGCCAGTGGATGTGGTTGGGTTGGGACTTCATGACTATTATGATATTATTAAGCGTCCTATGGATTTAGGGACTGTGAAATCAAAATTGACTAAGAATTTATATGACTCACCTTTGGAATTTTCTGAAGACGTCAGGCTAACATTTAACAATGCCATGTTGTACAATCCCAAGGGCCATGAAGTTCATATATTGGCTGAACAGTGGTTGATGAAATTTGAGGAAATGTTTCTCCCTGTTAGTAGAAAGTTGAGTGCTCTGAAGCAGCCAGATCCATACGATGAGGAATTGCAAGCCAGTTCTTGGAATCATGTAGAAATGGAGAAGTCCAACTTCAACTCAAATTGGAACAAATCAGAAGTAAGAGTTCCATCAAGTTCATTGAAGCCACCGTCGATACAGTCGCCGGTGAAAACCCCTTCACCAGTGAGGGTGCCGCAGGTGAAGCCTGTAAGACAGCCAAAGCCAAAGGCAAAGGATCCCTACAAACGGGAGATGAGTTTAGAGGAAAAACACAGATTGGGAGTTGGATTGCAGGGATTACCTCCGGAAAAGATGGATCAAGTTATACAGATTGTAAAGAAGAGAAGCGGCCATTTGAGACAGGATGGGGATGAGATTGAGCTCGACATTGAAGCTGTTGATACCGAGACGCTCTGGGAACTTGACCGGCTGGTTACGAATTGGAAGAAAATGGTGAGCAAGGTCAAGCGGCAAGCTCTCTTCAATGATAATGGAAATGTAGATTCGAGTAAAGCTAATAATGAGGTAAAAATATCACATAAGTTTTGCTTAAGGGCATGCTTGTTTTCTTTATCTGATGGGATTTCTGTACTTTTTTTTTTGCATTTTTTGCTGTAGATATCATCTGCAAATGAGATGAATGAGGTTAAAACAGAGGGGAAGAAGCTTAGAAAAGGGGATATGGGTGAGGAAGATGTGGACATTGGGGATGAAACGGTACCAATGGGGGGTTTCCCACCTGTTGAAATTGAAAGAGATGCAGCAGCTACTCATGCTAGTAGTAGTTCTGATAGCTCAAGTAGTTCAGGGAGTGATGATTCTTCCTCTTCAAGTGGTATGAATGATTTTGTTGGGTTTGTGATTCTGAATCATTAGAAAAGGCTTCTTTTGGGGTTAATTATTTTGAACCTCTCTCTCTCTCTCTTGTAGGTTCTGATTCAGATGGTAGCTCCTCCGACAGTGATTCAGATGGTGATGGTCAATCATAGGCTGTTTAGGATGGACGAACATCTTTCTGAACTCACAGACCATTGAAGCACATCAGTTTCTTTAATCTGAGGTATGATGAGTAAGAAACAGCATAATATTCTTCCATCATTGTTGTTACTTTGAACATACTTCATCATTCATGCTCTCATGCTTTGAAGAAACCAGCATAACATTCAAGCTTGAAGGAGAGACAATTTTGGAAGTTTTGGAGCTTTCAACCTGGAAAAAGGTATCAGAAGCAAAGAGAAATTGTAAATGGAGCAGGAGAACAGTTTTCTTATCTCTTTTTTTTAATACCTTAGAAGGTTGTTTTTGTGTACATAAACAAATTGTTGATTTCCCAGATCGGTATATATTTCCTGTTTTTCTATGTGAATTGAAATTTGTTCTTTTTGTATTATACGCTTGAAGGAAGCACAAGTGCAGTGATAGTAGGAACTTTCAAATTTGTAGTCAAACCTTTGAAAGGCTTTTCTTAAAATTTGTTTTCAGATTCATACGTGTTGAAAATTCAAGTTTCAAAGTCTAATTGAGATCTTACCTTACATGAGAATAGAATGAAACACTTTGGGATCAGGGAAGCGAGGGAAAATTCAAATAAGACAATATTTGCTAGCGGTGAATTTGGGTATTTACATTTGGTATCAAAGCTGGATATTGCCAGATTCCATTGAACTCCGGATGGGAGTAGAAGGAGTGAGCCAACAAGAACGTTTAGGGTTTCAAAGGAAGGAATGAGTGCCGGATATTAGGCTTCAAAGGAGGTGGATTGGAAAATCTCTTAGCACATATTAAAGGAAAAACATAAAAAGGACAACATCTCCTGAGTTCTTACCCTTTTTTTCTAAATTTTTTCCCTATTATATCCATCCTTATCCGAAAGTAGAAGTGGTGTTTATGTTGGTGGCAAGTATCATCCATCAATGGAAGAGCAAGTATCATCCATCAATAGAAGAACAAGACAAGTAAAACCGTCCAAGCATTGAAATTTAAAAAGATTGGACAAATTCTTCACATACATGAAAAAAGAATTAATAAAGGCATCCATTTCCCTAATAAGCTACAAAACATGCAATATTTTACTAGCAAAGATCCATCTATAAAAGACAGAATATTATCTAAAACTAAGAACTAGTACTGCCCGCTCATCTGCCAAATGCAAAGAAACTATGAAGAACAGGACATCATCAAGAATGAACAGCCAAATGATTCTTTCAGTAATAAAATACAGAGAACAAAACAAAACAAATCAATCTAAATGGTATTTTAACCAATGTTTGAGTTTGTGACTAGCAAGTAATAAATGTTCTATGCGTTTAACACTGTTTAAAACAAGAGATCACAACTATCTAGGAACAACCAATAAACACCTGCATCGGGCAATCGTCGATATTATAAGGTCGTTGTTCATTCAGGAACCAGCCCCAAAAATTTTGTTCTGGAAACAGAAATCTGAATCTGAATCTTCATGTGAGAGCTTTGCTTTCTTTCCTCCATCCATCAAGGTTTCATCTCAGTTTATAACAAGAAAACTAACAGCATGTGAGAGCTTTGCTTCTTTATCAAGTCAAAATGAGTAGAGATTCTCCAGAAACTTTCTACTCTCAAGAATAAAGCATAAATAGGCTGAATCTGTTGGATAACCATTTAGTTTAAGACTGACATGTTACTATTATCATTCACGATGCTTCAATTTACTGAACTGCTCGCCGAGTTGAGATTCGCATACCGCTACAGCTTCGGGAGCCAAGCTCAAAAGGAAAGACTTACTAATGTTAAGGGAGGATACGAAATTGAAAATCTTGCCACAAAACTTGCGTACATCAGCCCGTCGTGCCTGCTTTTCGGGCATATTTGTCAGTAACTCCTTTATCAAATTGCATAGTTCATGAAGGAAGTTCTCCATCAGTTCCTTTGTCACATGATGTCCATTTTCAGAGGACATTGATGATTTTATCATCTCAGTTATTAGGTCTAACGCTTCGATTCGCCGAAACTCTGAATTTGTACTGACACATCTCTCGAGAAGAGAACTGTAAAGATGATGTCCAACCCATGGCCTTCTTCGAATTATCTCTTTCAGAAATTCGGCCTTTATCTGAGACTTTTTACTATGAAAATAATCCACCAAAACCTTATCAAAAATATCAAACACTTTCTGTAGTTCAGGCTTGGACACTTTTTTTGCATCAATAATCTTCAAGATCCAAAATGATGAATTCTGACCAAGGGAAGTGATCATCTTGTAATGATTCAATGATGCTGTCTGCTTCTTTTTTGATACATTTGCAGCAGATTTCTTTTTCTTGGTTGGTTTTGATGCCAACTTTAGGTTCTTCTCCAACAAATTTTCAAGCGTGGACATTTGAACCGCTTCGCCCTTCGGATAGTCTTTTGCTTTGAAAATCTTCTTCTGCAAAATTCCCCATATCCGCTGTTCTAGCTGTTCGCTACCTTCTGTAGTATGAGGGTTAACTAATGCCTGAGCCAAATTTGAGAGCACTAACAAAACATTTGGTTTGCCTATGCCACAAAAAATGACGAATCAGATAGAGACCATAAAATATCATTACTCCAAGAAAAAGTGGGATACTGAAATAAATCACTTTAAAATATTGAACATGTCAGCAAATCATCCATGAAGCTGAAACATTGATCTAAACTGTCCAAAGTACAAATTTCTAGTAAACAATGATATGATAGTACTACACTAATATAAAGAATCGGACTGCTTGTGATTTCCTCAGCACCAGGTGTCCAAAGAAATTACTGATCTAAGTGAAGGAAAACTATCTGAGTTTCATCCCAAACTTATCTTTCAAGTGTCCGTGGTGCGAGATATCTACTTGGAAGACTAAGCAAAAGGATCTTTAAGACCTCGATTGATAACTATTTGGTTTTTTTTTTTAATAAGTTTACGAAGAATACTTCTACCATGAGTTTCTTTTTCCCATAGTGTTCTAACAATCCAAGCCAAGTTTGAAAACTAAAAAAATTAAAGCATTCTATTCAAAAAATGGAAAACTAAATTAGGAATTTTAGATATTCAATGAAGATGCTATTTTGGAATATAAGACGCTTGGAACATTAAAACAGATTCTGATAAAAGAAACTGAGATGTAGACTAATCGGAATGCAGTCGCCCTCAAGTTAGAAATGGCAAATAGATACAACTATATCGGTCCGGTGCGCTGGGGGTTTACTAACTGGTGGCATCCTAATTGTGAAATAACATGGTCAATGTTTTTCGTTAAATCTCCTCTTAAATCCTACAATGTTCTAAATTTATTAGTTAGATTATATTAAGTTAAATCTGCTCAAGTCCTAGAAGATCCAGCTAAAAGCATCATACCTGGATTTTCATGCAAGTAGATTTCCAGAAGTGACAGAACACGAAGCTTGAATAGCATAAGCTGAGACTGAGCAGTTTCACTCCCAGCCTGATTTTTTCGCTCTTTGAAGATTTGGGCAAGATAAGAATCCATTCGAAACATTGCATCATCGTCCATTCCTCCATCAGATTCAGAATCATCAGAACCGTCAGAATGTTCTTGACCTACTTCTCCAACTCTATCTATGGCTTCAGATTCATCAGTATGTTCATCACTATCTTCATCTTGATTAATTTCCTCATCTTCAACATCAAGAAAATCTCCATCCTCATCTTCATCCTCATCCTCATCTCCATCCTCTACATTGTGATGTCTCGAAGGTTTCAAATTTTTCTTGACAACCCTCAACATTCTCATCAGCCCATCATCAGTGATATCACAACAGAAGTACTTGAAAACCTACAAGACAAAGTCAAAACAAAGTCAGGTTCTCTCATCAACTAATATAATAGAGAGAGCCTTGAGTTATTCTCCTTGAGGAATGCATGTGCAATTGATAATCCTACCCTATGCAATTTGAGAACTTATCATCAACTAATATAATAGAGAGAGCCTTGAGTTATTCTCCTTGAGGAATGCATGTGCAATTGATAATGCTACCCTATGCAAGAACAATAATGTGAATGATGTTATCATTAAGAAGAAGAAATCAAGCCATACACCCAAATAAGATAAATATGTTTTCTTCATCAAAATAAGAGCACAAGGGGAAATGAAAATACGAAACTAAGGGGCTCAAAAGCTTGCTAACTGGCATAGATATGAAGAAAGTATCATCAGTAAACACCAAGAAGAAAAAAGGATTTTAACAATCTCCCCAAAAATATCTGACTTGTCCCCTCCCCTTGAGTACTTTAAATGAGATACCAAGAACAATAATGTGAATGATGTAAACTATAATACTTTGCATTCATAAAGTTACTAGTGAAAAAGAGGAAGGCTGGAGTAATATATCTATTATTATAGGGAAAATGCGAGAAGAAAAATTATACAAATAAGGAAACCCCCTTATGAGTAAGAAAATAAAGAAAAGAAAAGCATTAGTGTTTAAAAAGTATTTGAAAAAAAAACGAACACTTGCTATTCATGCAATGAACATGCTTAAATGAGATAAAGGACAAAGCATAAGGGAGATAAAATTTACAAAAGCACCCAAACGATTTACGAAAAGCGAATTTCATTTGAAACAATAACTAGAGGGGAGTAATTACTGAAATCCTCAAAGTTAGCTATAGTTTACATCAGCAATGCCAGTTTTTTTATCAACATTATAATTGCAACCATATAATGTAAAGATAGAGATAGATGCAAAAATAAACCTCAATTACTAGTATACACAATTTGCAACATTCAGCCTTGCACGCACCTGCTCAATGGCCGACCTCATGGGTGCTGATGACTGTGGTAGCAATGAGAGCAATGTATCCACAAGAACATCCATTAACTGCGGTGTTCCATCACCATCCAACTCATCATCTCCAGAGGAGCCTAGTAGATCAGCAGAAGAAAAGGCTTTCTTACAACATATGATCAATTCTGTTGCAGCCTCAGTAAATTCCTCTGGTCGAAGGAGCACTTGCAAAAGCAACTGGATGAGCAAGTACCTCAGTGCATGCAATTTGTTTGCATCAGCACTTAATCCGTAATTCCTTTCCTGACAACAAAGTAATATTTATTAATGATACCATAAATTAATATTTACAAAATTGCATGTCAAATTAAAAGATAAACTATTGATCTTTAATCCTTAATATAATATAGGTTTTTGATCAGTCAAAATTGAGAAACATTTTTGCAGAATTTCCTCAACTCTAATTATGAATTTCTAACGTCTTCCAATTCAATTGTTATAAAATATGGCTAGCTTATTCTTAATATTAATTACATAACAAATTTATTAAACGTAGAAAGTTACCTCTCTCCATAACCTGGTTTCCATCTCTTGTAGTTTCTTGAATGCATCTTCATCCTCGTCACTCAGGCGACGGAATAGAGAAACTGAAGGAATGTTGCGTAAAGTACTGAGAAACCTCATAAAATAAGAGCCAAGATCATTTGGCTCAAGACCATTAACCAAACCATGAGATCCCTCGCCCTTTTGAGCATTAGCAAGTAATAACTGCAGTTGTTCAATACACATCATGCAAAGAGCACTAGATGTGGGAGCTTTTGGCCACTTAAATTTCTCCTGCAATTCAAAAGATGTCACTTCTGTGCCAAGCGATGCAGTGAACAAACCCTGGACGGCTAGAAATTTCAAAACTTCTTTCTGCACTCGGAATTTTGCTTCAGGTTCCAGCTTTAAGTGTTTAAACATACATGGTAGAGATTCTATAATCCAAGTTCTCAAAAAATCAGAGTTTCCCATTGTTCCAATGGAGTCCTTACCCTCAACCGAACCAACCTCTGAGTTGTCATCAGTTGTTTGACTTTGATCTGAAGGTTCCTCTGATGTTTGACTTTCATCCACAAACATGCTCATCAAGTTCTGAATAAACAGAAAGCAACCCGATTCCGTCTTAAACTCGGACATCAAGTGTTGAACTGCTTTTGTTCGTGTAATACTATCAAACTTGCCATTGCTGTGCTTCTGTAAAGCCACAACAACGGAAACTTTTCTGACATCATCATGCAGTGCCCATTCAGATAATTCTTTTAGAAAATTTTGCACAACTTTATGCAACCAAGAATCCTTCGTTGAAAGTATGTCCATCAGGCACTGGACAACTTTATATGACAGCATAGCAGGGATAAAATTTGCTGGCAGTCTTGGCAGTAGATGAAATAGAACATCAAACACCAAGTGCTTACGATCATGAGATGATAGCAGAAGTGCTCCTTCAATTACAACTTCAAAAAAGTTTTTAAAGTTTACCAGAATTTCTTCTTCAGAGGAGCCACTTTTACGGTTCTTTTTATGCTTCTTCAATGAGATTGAAACAGACAATGCATCTTGAGTTTGCAAAACTGTATCAGGCAACAAAATGTTTAGCAGAACAGGCCATAAGCTGTGAACTCTGGGCTGGCAAAAAGTAGACTCCTGCCAAATACCATGCACAAAAAAAAAAAAAAAAAATGATTTCAGTGATTATTACAATAGAACTTCTTGTAGAAAAAGATGGACACTTCCAAGTAGCACCTTGAAACAGTTGACTAGGGATGACAGATGATCAACAGAAAAGAATCTACTAGGATTGAATGGATTTGGTAAAAGTTTAACTAATGTTGGACAATCAGCAGAAACTTTTTCTCGTAATTTTAAAGCCAACAGCAGTGCATCTGGGTTCCCAACTTCAGTAGCTGCTTCAAACCACTCTTGAATTCCAGGAGCTTCAAGCACATGATTCAACACTGACTCGGGTGTTAACTACAAAACCATAATACCATTATCAGGAGGAGGAGGAGGAGGGGGAGATTAAGTTGAGACAAAAAAAATAGCTTTTGAAAAGCAACTAGGTACAGGCATACGAAAAAGTGACCCAAACATAATGGCGGGAGAATAGGTGGGCACACACCAACAAATTTACAACCATTTTGGCATTTTCAATTATTTCCAAAAAAGAAATAAATTCTAAGAAAAATTGAACTACTCATAATATAAATAAGGTAATTCTCATTTAGTTTCATATGAAATATCGAGAGTAATGAGCTCTACTGTCTTCACAAGAGGGCTATCTGCATTTCTTCATGTTATACACAATGAATCAAAGAGGAGTGGCTCACCCATCCACCCACTTAAGGCCAAATGAGTTTACAAAAGATGCTCCAATAAATCATTTTCTAAAGAATTAGGTGGTAGATTGCATGCTAAAGCTAATTGTCTCGTTGAGTTTCATTTGAGTTTGGTGATTACTTTTTTTTTTAATGGACAAATTTGGGAAAGGATTTCTAATAAGTTTATGCTGGATGGTGGGACTCGGGTTATTTTTTTGTGATTTTACTTGCCATCTCAGTTTTGTGTATTGCATTGCATCACAGTTTTGTGTATCACGTCATTTCAGTTTAGTGTACCCCAAGTTCATCTTCGTCAAAAGTTAGATACCCATTTGCTATAGCATTGAAAAGTTAGTTTTAAAAACAAACCCTAAGGTTTCATTTCTAGACATATTTTTCATTGAAGTCCTAAAAGGCTAAAAGTTAAGGACCTTAACACAATGTTTGAAATGGTGACCACCTAGAGGCTAGAAATTACCCTATTCAATCATGAGCTTTGCTTGAGAAGAACCAAGATAGGCAAATTTATCCAAAAAGCAATGTGTCAAAGAAGCCAATTTCATAATTCCATCGGCCCAACATCATAAAATTATTTCTAACTTGTCCAATATACACAAAAATATATTCAATTTAACATTCAAAAAATATACAATAAATAAATTTAGAAAATAATATCTCCATTCAAAATTACATGCTCTGTTAAAAAACATAAGTGCAACATTTCTATTTGAAAAAATTGTTTTTGCCTGCCCATTCTTAAGAAGTCCATGTGCTCATTAACTTTTTTTTTTTTTTTTTTTTTTTTTGTATCTNTTTTTTTTTTTTTTTTTTTTTTTTTTCAGTATCTCCACGTGAAGACAGCTCTTGATTTTAAAAACCAAAAGAGCTCCAAGGAATAGCATATAATTAAATAGATAACATACCTTTTCTACCAATTCTACAATAATTAAGACAGCTGGCTCTTGCAGATAGCGTTTTTTAGCTGCAAGAGATATAAGAACACTGGTGATTTCCTTCACATGTGAAGAGTTTTTATCAGAAGAGCATTCTTCAGTTAGTCTTCCTGAGTGAACAAGAGCCCCATATGCAAACAAGCGACCCAAAAGACAGTCCCTCGCTTCCTGCATCACCATAAAAAAGTAATGAAGTAACATTAAAAAAAAAATTAACCAGAACACAGAAACCATATCATAGAATGATAGAATAAATCCATGTAGATGACACTAGATTACCTGGCCCTTCATTGATGAAGAAACCTCTAATATATTAGTAATAAGTTTCAGCAATGAGTCCACCTTGACGTTGGACTGTGTACCTATCAATGCAGTTAATCCTAAGGCAAAACCCTGTCTAGCACACTGCAATTGTAATTCATAGCAAGCACAGGAGGAAAGTTAGGATTGCATCAAATGGATAGAAATAATCTACAAAATCATCAAAGTTTTCATCAACCTGAGACACCATCATTAACAGGGAAAAACATCATATTGCTCGAGTGTTGTAATAAAAGCCAAAACTAGTCAAATTAACAAAGGATCTGAGGAAAGGAGCACTTCTACATGCATTCTAGAGCAAGATCCGTTGATGACAAAAAAAAAAAAAAAAAAAAAAAAAAAACCTCAGAGAAATTATGAAACCATGCGATTTTTCAAAAGAATCAAAAGTGTGTCAGATTACTAAATAGAATAATATGAGAAAATCAATCCCCCACTGTACTTGTAACTTCGAGAATAGAAATGTATATAGCTAATTTCATCATTGCACTTTTTTGTTATGGCATTCTTGAAGAAATTGTAATAAAATCTACTTGTGAAATAATATTGTTTTTGAATATTGATTGTTCTTTCATATTTTAGAAATTAAGTTTACTTTTTTCATTGGCCTAGAACCTGAAACATTATGATGATAGTCTGGAATGTTACCCTCTTATTGTACTACTAAAACGGTAGAGCGAAAGATGCTCTAGATAGATAAAATCAAAATATACCTCTCTCGAAGAAGACACGCCTCGAATCAGTCTACGTAAAGCATATCTCACAGATGGGGCACAATTATCCAAGCCATCATCCTTCTCAGCTTCCAGTTTTAATCCACCCTCAACCAAATCCTTATTTTCAAGCTTTTCATATGCTTGTTGAACCTTTAGCAGCTCAGTTGCCAAAGCTTCTGCAGCTGATTCTCTCACCAAAATGTCCGCAGATGCCAAGTCCTTAAAAACACTGATATGAAACTCTGGGAGACCACTGCTTGAAAAAGAGACAGAAGACGGCTTATTCTCATCAGCTTTAACCTTCACACTTGTTTGTTTTTCCTTAGGTTCTTCACTTTCCAAAACAGCTCGCTTTCTTTCTTTGTCAAATGTTTTCCTTTTCTTTTTTCTCTCCATTGGTTTCTCAGAATCGGGAAAGGAAGAAGAGGAAACATCAACATCCCCATTTTCCAGTTCGGCGTCTTTCTGTTTATCCTTCTTCATTTTTCTCTTTAAGGATTTTGGAACAGCACTAACGTCAACCATCGATGTATCTTTCTGGATCTCCACTCCATCTGTTGGGTTAGAGCCTCTTTTTTTACCGTCCATTGTATAAAAGAATTCTCCTGAATTTTTCTGGTATCAAGAATGCACAGAATAAAAGAAAATTAAAAAGTGGCAATCACTATATGAACGTACAAAAGAAACTGGAATTTTAATAATGCACAGATCAAAAAACTCTCAGACACTATATGAACCTATAAAATACACTGGAATTCTACTCAGACATTGGTGCTTGCTGAAATCAAAATATATTGTCCTTTTCCGTTAGGAAATAGATTGTTACCATTAATTAGCTTCTTAACTTACTACTAACCATTTAAAATTTAAAAGAAACATAAGAAAATAGAAAAATTATAGCACAGAGAAAAACATCAAAGAGAAAGGACGTTGAAGTTAAAGAAGAGGCAGGCACTCAAACGTTTGGATTGTAACCAACAGGACAAGCATAGAAGGTCCCTAGAAGCTCATGAAAAATTTAGAAGTCAAGTTGTAGCTTTGGTAAGGAGTATGCATCATTTCAATTTGATTGCACGACATTCAACTAAACCGTGTGAACAGAAGGAAAGAAACCAATCCAAATTGAAACAACTGGGTCACCTTTTTCCCATGCTTTGATGACGATAGATGTCATAAACTATTTTCGGCCAAACTTCTACAGATAAAGTATCTCAACTATTTTCAGCCAAGCCAACTAGTTTAAGATTTATAATACACTCTGTCTTCTTTACCTCCTCTACGTTTTATAGCATAAAATTTTGGGTTCTATAATAGGTTTTTCTCATCTATACTGCATATGGGTGGGGCTAAGGATAGAATAATTATGTCTCCTCTAATCCATCCATTCCACTTTCTAATACAAGCCTATTTTACCCTATGCATTTTCTATAACTTCTTTAATCACGTACATAGAATACAAGGCATAGAGGCTGCTCTTATTTCCAGTAAAAGTATCGTGGGTGATTGATTAGTGAGAACTTCCAATTTTCATGAAGACTTAATTTCTCATCAGACTATAATCTATTAATATAAATATGGGTGGGGTTGTTCTGTCAATCAAAAGAACTCCTGCGAGCAAGGAATTTAAAGTGAATTGGATAAAAGAATCCTCCACTTTCTATCGATAACTTGCAAAAAATAGATGTACATTGAGTAGTGGTATGCTCTTTGCAAGAACATAGAAACAAGCCGCCATGGAGGCGCCAGTTTCCAGCAGAAATTTCCTTAAGAGTTTTTTCAATTTATTTGTCGGCAAAAATAGGTAAACGATAAATTACTTCGACTGGTTCTTGATAGATAAAGCAGAAGAAGATTCTGGAAAATTCATGGTCGCAGAAACAAAACAATTTTCAGCAGAGACCAAAGAGATAATACGGATTATCAAAGTCTCAATAAACAGACATGCACAAAATATCACAAGGCAGAGAAGGTAGAAAACGGAAGTTCGAAGAGTCTCAATTCGCCGCAAGGCTGAATTTTTTTTTTTTTTCTTTTTTTTCATTGCTATTCTGCTGCTGTCATTAATATACATATATATATCTATAAAAACTCCTCCATTCTTCCATTAACATGTCCTATTTGAGTTTTTAGAAAGACATGGATGGAGATTGATAGAATAACAGTAAAAACAAGAGAGAAGAAAATCAATGTAACCTCCAGAGAGGGAGGTTGCGGCGGCAGAAAGACGGCCGGGGCACGACGGAATGAGAGAGTGGCCCGACGGCGACGCGGAGCTGCTGAAAGAGAGTGGGAGCCGGCGTGGAGAAGAAGAAGAAGTGCAGCACGTGAGAGGTAGCGGAAGATAAAGGGTTTAGGGTTTCATCAATTTTATTGTTTTTATTTATTTTATTTTATTTTTTATTTACGTTGTTACAGAAAATATCATACGTAAGGGTTTAGGGTTTTAAATTTCTTTTATATATTTTTCTTTTTAATTTACAAAAAAAGTGTACACGTCAGCAAATAGATTAATTTGATTGAATTAATTAAATTTTCAATTTTATATTTTAAAAACTAAAATTTTAAAATAATTTATTAAATTTTATGTATTTTTATATGATGCCTAAGTTTAAACATGATTAATACGATATTATAATAATGTTACCATCATATAAAATATATAATAAATATGATTGAAACGCTACGAATATGTATGTTTGTCTCATACGAATTTTACTTCATGTTACATATGAAAGTATCATACGCTACATCTCGCTAAACTATAATTGTATATGTGGGATCTCGTGCACGTTGTGTTCTCGTGTGACCATGGATTACTCTCTTTAGTTATGTGGTGTACAAATGCATACACTCGGGATATTATTCTTTTTCATCGGTTTTTGGTAATGGGAGTGTGTGTTTGCTCGTAGTCAGGTTTAAGGGTATGTTAGTGAACTCACCTAATGTGCCCACACGTACAGCATGTATGCGCGTAGACCATGTAGAGAAAACTACCTAGAGATGCATGTTTAATTTGCAGGGTATGTGCCAAGACAAAAATTCCCTATTTAAATGGAGAAAGTGAAGAGAGTGAAAAAATATTTCTCTCCGTTAAATAAATTGAATAAGGGACGAAAATTATATATATATATATATATATATATATATATATATATATATATATATATGGACAATATATTTATTAAACACTAGTAAATTTAAAATTTTAAAAAACGAAATTAATATATCTAAATTTTTATAAAATTAAAGGTAAAAAATTATTTTTTAATTAGAGATCTAATTGGGTTGGATTATTAACATAACTTCAAATAAATAAAAACTTTATAATATCGTTTGAATTTCTTTATTAATTTAATATATATATACATATATATTTTTATTATTAACAAATATTTATTTATTTATTTATTTGCGAGGAATCAAACCAACCAAATGTCTTAATTAATTTTAATATATATATATATTTTGTTATGGTACAAATGATCTATATATTTACTTTATTTCATGTTTTTTTTATTATCGAACTATTCTTAAAAATAATTTTTAACCAATGAATTTTTGAAAAAAAAAATTTAAAATTTTAATTAAATTTTTAAAAACAAAAAAAAGAGATATTTCATGATTAATATTTTAATAACAATTAAAATTTGAATAAGAATCGATTAACTTGAACTTAATCTATTTTAATTAATTAATTAATTTATGTATTTATTTTTTATAACTGAACTTAAATGAGAGATTTCAGAACCATTTTCCAACCCTGCCATGGTTTCTGTGCTTCAGCGACTACGGGGAAGGACAATCTGCCCATTCCCGCCATGTTCGAGGCTTAGGAGCTTCCGTTCTGATGCTTCCTTGGAAGCCATAGCCAAAGCTGCAGAAGACAGAGTTCCCAATGTGGTGTTCTACAACTATCCTTCGTTTTCTGGAGCTTTCTCAGCCCTCTTTGCACGCATGTTTCATACTCGTCTTCGTCTCCCTTGCCTCATTCTGCCTTTCTCTTCCGCTGTTCCTTTCAGGTTCCATCGCGCTTCTCTTAATGCTTCGCTTATTTGACCATGAATTCGCTGTCTCTAATGCTGCGTCGAGTAACTTTTTAGCTGAATATTACTAGAATTTCGAACTCCGACGTGATTTTGTAACGATTCTGAACTCTTCTGTACTTTATTATTTTATAGGATCGAGGATTTGTATGTTGAAGGGCTTGAGCGATGCTATTTTCTTGACTTTTTGGGTCCGAAAGGATTTGCTGCCGCGGTTTCACGTCGAGCCACTTGTGAGTAAGTTGACGATGTTGTGCTGATAATCACTGATCCACTTTTAGTTCTTTTTTAAATTTTGTTTGAAAATAATTATGGTTTGTTCAGATTTCTTGGTTTTGTTAATTGAATTAGGGTCGTATGTTTTGATCATCGTAAATCATCACTTCCACATACTATCCCTACGGAAGATCGCCCTAAGAATCTGTCAATTCGCGTAAATCTTGAGAAGAGTAGCTCTACAGCTGTGTATGAATATTTCTCCTCCAGACTTAAGGATATGGAAACTCCTTGTGTAAGTGAAATGGTCATGTATTAATGTACCATTAACTCGGCTGCTTGTGTGTGTTGGCTCACTGTTTTGTTTTGCTCTTCTAATGATCAGGATCCTGTTGCAGACCTTTTAGAACTGAAGGATAGAAGCCGAATTGAAATGGTTCTCAAGTACATCGAGGATGGGGATCTTCGAAGATGGAGCTTACCTGATATTAGGGCATTTAACATTGGATTCAGTGAGTGGCGATCGAAATTGAACTGTATCACTAATCCATACATCTATGAACAGGTTTGGACTATTCTATCTATTTGATTTTTTTATCTTGATACCCTAGTGCTACAATTTGTTTGTTTCTTTAACTATTTATAAGCTTCAACTAAGTTTCCATCAGTTCTAAAGAAAGTTTTGAAATCTGTTTGCAGTGCCATTTTTCACATTGCTAATCTGTTTCATATTCAAATCTAATCTGTTTCGTATTCAAATCTGTTTGGAGAAGGAGCGTATAAGAGACCATTTTCGTGTTAGAAGTTTATATGTAGTACCAAAGTATGTAGCGAGACCTGTTATAACCTTGTTTCTATTGTGATTGGGTGCCAATTAGTTAACTTTTTCCCATTTAAGAATGCTAAAACACCACACAACATTGATTCAGTCAACTTTCAAAATTTAATACACCTTTGCACAGGGAAAAAGAATAGGAAATTAACATTAAACTGCTACTAACAAAACCTCTTAATAAACTTGAATTATTTTTTTTTATTTTAATGAATCTTCAAAAGGCTCGTCAATTTATGAATCTTAATTCTGCCTTTTGGTAATAGCTCAGACAAGGATATTCTCCCAGTTTATAGCAATTATGGAAAAAGCAGCTCTACCTGTCATGGATCATCTAAACGCGTATTCAAGTGTCTTAGTTTGAATAAGGACATATGAAAGGCTGGTCATGATCATGTAATGGAGGAAAAAGAGCCCTCTGAGAGACATTTCTCTATAGAAAGTTTTGATGAATCAATTGAATTGAAAATTTTAGACAAACAAAACATTTTTGGGTCGGACAGTATACTACTTAAATTTGGTGTAAGTTATTTCACAACTTCATCATTGTATTCTTGGTTGATCATTTTCACTTCATTTGAATTATAATCTAACAACCAACGCCATTGCTTCAATAATAAAAAAAAAATTGTCCTTTATAACTGCTGTTGTGCCTCTTAACCATTCAATAAGGGAGGTAGCTATCTTGAGTAGACAAGGCATTCATAGGGTGCTAAAATTTCTTGTGTATTTCAGGAGCGGATGATGATCTAGATAATTAATGGGGAATGCATCTTGGATTGAAATACAAAGTTAAATTACTGACATTCTGAATACGACTGAAATAACTAATATCGAGGTCCAGACTAAATATGGGGAATCAGTTTGAGCTAAAATATCAATAAGATATGATTCTTTTGATTAAAATTAAAGCATTTTAGCTTCTGCACATTTAGATCTTGGGCTTCAAATTTTTGAGAGGTGGGTTTTATGTCTTTTATTTCAATCAGCGCGCTGCTTCTGTGTATTAGTTTGACATTATATAAAAACTCTGCTGATATCTCCTCTCTGTCTTTAAGTTATAGATCTCACTTAAAAATATTTCTGCTTCTGTATTTGACATATAATGAACTGCGATCACGCTCTTGCAGTTGCTGGAGATGAATTATTTGGAATTGATTGCTAAGGGAACTGACTTCATCGCTTCTCGTGAAAATGTTGCAAAACAATTCCTAGACAAGGCTTTTAAAATTCATCTGGGGAGGGGATTTTATGGCGAGTGTCTGGTAAGAACACTTCTTCTTGTGTTTAGGCCTGATTCAATGCAAATCTTTTCCAGGACTCTCATAGTCCTCTTTCTCCATCTCTGAATTTGTCCTTTCCATCAAAGAACATTTTATATGCTGGACATAATTGTATATTAGTTTCATGCCTTTGTTTGTAATTATTTCCTTGAATTTGTTATACATTTTTATCTCCAAGGACTTGAATATCTGTGCGTAGGCAGTAAGAGCAGATGGGAATGCCAACTTGAGCGATGAAATTGGGAAGCAACTGAGTTTGAGAAGTGCTGCAGCTGGATTGAGGTAAATTGTTAGACTTTTCCCTGAATATATTGTAGAGGAGTTTCTCATTCCCGTTTTCTTCTGGTGTCTACTGTTAACCTATTTGGGTAATTATGGTCAAATTTGTTTGTGTCATGACCATTGATTTTTGAAGATTAGATACTCAAGGATGCTCCCACCACATATAAAGCTATTATTTCCTGGTTCTCTCCATCTTGGTAAATGATTTATTGTAGTTAACCTCACTGATAGTAAACTTAATGAATGTTTCCTAGGGTTAAAACTATAAAACTAGATGATGTTTGTCCTCAAACACGTAGAACATCCAAGATGACAAGATCCATGTATCAATCGGATCATAGAATCACTAATAGAGGATAGGAAAACCGACTTGGATCCCTATCTCTGATACTTCTGAAATCCTAAAGCTTAAAAGTATGAAAACGGTCTGCCTTTGTCAAATATACCAGTGTAAAACTCTCATTCATGTTGGGAATAAGTTGATATTGGAGACAATCACCTTACAATTTAGGTTTTGCTGATTGTTATTCTAATAAGAATCCAGATATTATAAAAACCAAACAAAAGGTAAACTACAAGAGATGAAATTGCTTCATTTGTTAAGAATTAGAAATTAAAGATAATTTACAAAACTTTAAAGACGAAGGAGCTCTGTGTCCAAACCTCCTTCGAAAATTTCTCAGCACCTTTAAAAATAAATCCTCAAATATTCTAGAGGTTAGCAAAGAAGCAAATGGCATGTTTTGGTACAAAGTCTGAATTCATGTTTTTTGATTCACAGATAGATGTATTTTTGTAAATTGGTTTTGGATTTTGTGATCCAAGCAGTACAAATTTTGAAAACAATATTTGTAAGTCTTTTTTATAATCGTAACTAGAATTTGAATTTAAAACTTTACAATGTATGTTTGGATTTAAAGGTAAAAACTCTAATAATATTTCATGTTATAATCTTAATTCATTTTTGTTACTTCATTTTTTTAGTTTATATTCAGTCTAATATTTAGTGGATAACTACCACTAGTTTTATGATTTATAAATATATTACATCAAACATATTTTGAAGAGTTGTTTAAATTGTGATCAAATTTTTGAATATGTTACCAAAACACATATCTTAAAACATGAAATACAACTTCGTTGCCAAATTTATATTTTCAATTTGTCTACTAAACAAGCTCTTAAAAACCCAACTTCTAGGAGAAAATAAAAGGAATCACCTCCCCCAACATATCCTTCAACATTTAGAGTAACCAAAAGCCTGTGGTATTTGGCAGTAATTAACGTAGCTTGATTCTATTTTAGTTATTTCTATCTTGAAACCACAAGTTCTTTTGTGCTTCAGGCCTATAGGTGCTGTCATATACATGCAACGAAAAAATCTTAAAATGTGTTTGAGGACTACGGATGGTGCTACCGACACATCTGAGGTCTCCAAAGTGAGTTTTGCTTGAACTCTTAGTTCTTTGTACTGAAGTCATTGAGGTACAGTTACTGAGTTTCTTAGCATTTTAAATCCTGAAGGCTTATGGTGGTGGGGGTTCGCCAAGTTCAAGTTCTTTTATGATCAGGATGGACGAGTACAATAAATGGCGAGTGGTGAATTCATCCTGACAAACTCGGGTAACATATTGATAACATATCGTAGTAATCTAATTCATCATCGCTTAAACTTCGAGTTTATAATAATTTAACTTAGTATCAAAACAGGAGTTTTAAGTGTTTAATTTTAATCTAGTGTCAAAGTTTGAGGATATATGTTCGAATTAATATTGATAACTACATGTTGGGCTTAGGGTCAACAACAGGTGGAGCAAAGAGGGGATTCTTTAATCCCCATCTCGGCATGGACATCTCGACATGGACATCTCGACCTCATTCCGACCACCATCCCCACAGGTTCTTCCTCGATTATACGAAAATTTTATATGGAAAGAAAAAAGTTGGTAATAAATCAATTATTTGATGAAGGCTTCTCCACTTTCTTTTGTTAAAGTTAGTAGGTGAATTAACATAAATTAAATGGAGAGAAAAAAGTTGGTAATATTTATTTAAATTAGGGTCTCATTTGTTGGAACTAAAAGTCTAGGGTTTAAGGTGTTAATTATTTTTTTTCTAAAAATTAAACATTATCCTTATTATTAGTATTATAAACTGTGCGTAAAATACTTACCTTGTCATAACAATCTTCTAATATTGAAGCCAAACATTTAACTATTCTTCTTTTTCAAAATCAAAACCTTGTGCAAATGAGAATGTGCCGGAATGAAATGAAAGAAATAGAAATGCAAGCACAATGAAAAATGATATTCCCTTTGATGTTATTTACATGAAGCTTTTTAGTAATGTTGTAGAACTAGAATTTGAAATTTAGATTCAATATCTAACGGTTTTGATATTTCTTTTGCATTCATTATGGCATGAGTGCGTCGTCTTCTTGTCTTAGAATGATTCTTAAAGAGTTAATATTGTTTTTTAAATCAACCTAGGTCTTTTGATCATGTTTTGCCTTACTCACATGCTCCTATGGAAATTTTCGAAAGGCAATCAATATAGAATTGCTTCAAGCTAAGCATATCTAACTATGAAGATCATACGATTAAGTCGTCGAATAAGTAAGTGCACCTTGTATTATCAATTCTTTTAAGTTTTTCTAAAATATAATTTCATATTCTTACGATCATTCTCATTAAGGCGTGGTTTCAGTTTAATTATGTATTCTTATTTTATTGGGGTCATATGCCCACTTGCTCCACCTTGATTCGTTCCTAAACCAATTCCTATTGTGAGATATTTTACTATGATTCCATCGGTAAAGACCCTAATGTTGAGATGTTTATATTTTACTATGATTCTATCGGTAAAGACCCTAATGTTGAGATGTTTTACCTCTAATGTGATTAGACCATCAATCATTACATGCATATTGTTGAGATTTTTAAATAAATTCAAGCATCAATGATTGAAACTTAAAATCTTTGTAAAAGCTTTTCAGTGATTTAGATAGGATAGGATAGGATTCCAATATTATCTAATCATGATCTTGTCAAAATAGGACAATGGATTACATAGAGTTGGTAAACATGAGGGTTGCTACCCCTCTTGTGTCACCTTGATACTATTAGGACTACACGAACTACTCTAGTAGTTTTATTTATTATAGAGGGCAGATTTCATGATGTATAGTAGCCGACCAAAATTGGAAATGAGACGACGTATACTAAAATTAGAGCAAAGAGCAAAACCATCTAGATTACTCACGGAGCCTTGTTAAGGAGCTTCAAGAGATTAGTAGTTTAGTAGGAGCATCTCTAGGGCCAAACATTGAAATGTAAAGCACTTAGCGTTTGAGTAAGACTTATACATAGACATGTATAACTATTAAGTTTAATTTAAAAACCTATCCTCATACTGTTTATTGAGTATTTCTATATTCATTTATACTACTTTTTTCTGTGAGATGACAATTAAGTCGCATGGTCGAGGTGAGAGCGAGAGCGAGCTGTGGGGCTTTAGATTTTTTAGATAAATTAGTCATATTACTATTTGCTCTCTTTTGAAAAACATGGTCCCCACCATGTTTCTCGTGTTTATCAACTCTTCCATGTCTTTTAAGATCTCAAGGCATTAGAAATAGCTCATGACCCGACCGCTCAGAATCATGGGTTGTTACAGATAAATTGTTATAACTTTATGGAAATATAAAAAAATCTCCGCTATTTTAATATTAAAGTGTTATTCTATTATGGACTATTTAAATGTGAAAGCAAGACTTTTAAATTATTGGCAAATAGAAAAATAGTGGGATTGTATTAATTGTTAGAGATGTGACAAATATTAGGAAGAGTCAAAAGTTTGATATGGGATGGGATAATAAGATATGAAATCCCATTAAATTAATTTTTTTTATTCTTTCCGATGTTAAATATAAATTATTATATTTTTATTAAGTCTTAATTTTAGCCATGGTTAATTTTTTTTAATATCTTATTATTTATGTGCAATTTTCTCTGTATTTTTTTTACCTAAAATTTACTAAATTCGATAAAAATTAATTTTGAAGCTCTAAATTTAAGATTCAAGAAAATTATATTAATTAAAATTAATACTTGAAAGTGCGTAGAAAATTGAATAAATATATTTTAGCCAAATAATTTTGTTTAAAAAAAAAAAAAAATCGGCTAATGGGATAGGTGGGGCATATGACCTATCTAGTGCCATAAAAAGTCTCGCCAGTACAAATGACTATGCTCATAAGCAATATAAATCACGAGATTAAATAAGTCACAATAATAGTACAAATGAAAATGTCATTTTCGATCACGTAAGCAATATAAAACACGAGATTAAATAAGATTTATGGATTGAACGAAACATTTTTTATAAGAGTGTGAAAACTTCTCTCTAGCGGACGAGTTTTAAAAACCTTGAAAAAAAGCTCGAAAGGGAAAGCCTAAAAAAGATCTGCTAGCAGTGGGTTAGGTCTACATATAAACTATTTATGATTCGGGGTTTGTCTCAAATAGTTTGAAAATTCTTGTATAAACAAACGAGAGATTTAGGACGATAATTATATTTTTTATCCATCCCACTTCCACTTATATTTTTCACCCTTTCCCAAACCCACAAATTTAATTTAAACATACTCAAATAACTATAACAAAAGATTATGGCCACAACCCCAAGGAGTAAAAGAAGGTTCAAGAGCGAAGTTGTGAGACCACGTCTTTGGAGTGATCTCGTAGTTCCTATGGGATGAAGACGACGAGGTTGGTTCATGAATTTTCATTCCTTTTGTTGCATTTCGAGAGAGATAATGCATTAAGCTGGTGGTATAGGGAGCACTCTCTCTTTGGATTAAGGTTCGTCACTAACCGAAGATTTTGAGAATGTCGTGTACATAATGCCCGATATAGACAAATACAATGGAATTGATTGTCCTAAGACTCATGTTGCAATTGTCCGTTTCTCTTGCCACCCACTTGGTGACCTCTACGCTCGTTATCCTTACCGTTCTCTCTATTACGGGCTTTAGCCATAAACTATGGTACCTCTAGCTCGCAACCCTGGAACAAAACATCTTAGTAAAGGAGAGTGGCGAAACTTTGTTATTATTTTTCCATCCAAGTCGTCTTTAGTGTGGCAAAATATTAAAATTTATTAACTAAATATATAATTGTAGTTTAGGGTAAAATTGAAAAGGAACCGAAAGAGCCAAGATTTTTTAAAAGGAAAAGAAAAAACATTGCACCAGCCGAGAATCAACCCGAGTCTATATCATGGCAGTGTACTATTCTACCACTAGACAGTGCTTTTTGTTTTAAATTGTTACAAATTATATATTTGATGATAATAGTAGTTTGACTAAAAATATTTGTTATCCACATTACACCATTTTATTAATACTAAATTATAAACTTACTTAAATAATTTAGAAAATTTTAATTATTTTTTTAATTTGATCATTAGTTGAATCTTACTATATATATATATATATATATATATATATATATATATATATATATATATATATATTTTTTTTTTTGTCAATGCTATATTAATATAATAAATTATTTAACGCTTAAATTAATTAAAATACTCTTAAATTTTATCTTAATTTTTTTCTATATAGAAATTATTAGTATTTTATTTTAAAAATAACTAAAAATATTCTTAAATTTTTTAGAGTATTTTGTAAATTTTAAAATAAAATATTAAGTGTAAATATACTTTTCAACATTTTAAAAATTTAAGGGTGTTATATATATAATATATATTTTGAAAAATAAGAGTATTATGGTATTTTTAAAATTTCAACAAAATATAAAGTTTAATTTTTTTTATTTATTAATTTTGCCTAATTTAATAAACTATTTATTTTTCAAATCAACGAATTCCAGTCTTACAAATAATTAATTAAATTTAGTTTTTCTCACTTTTAATTATTAGCTTATACGATAATATCTTAACAAAAAATAATAATAATAATAATAATATATATATATATATATATATATATATATATATATATATATATATATATATATTTTTTGTTTATTATTATTATTTATGCTTGTTTCTTCCTGTTCTCTCCCGCTGCAAATGAACTCTATTTTATTTCTTCTTCTCAATAAAGGCTCGAGCATACGTTGCTTGTAGGTGACGTAAAAATGAATAGGCTTAACTCTCTTGTTGCTGGAAAGTGAGTGCCACCCGTAAGTCCGTTACCGCTAGAGATTCGAGCATACGTTACTTGACCGTAGACGACGCAAGAACGAATAGACTTAATTCACTTGTTGTTGGAAAGTGAGTGACGCACAATCACAAGTCCGCTGCCATCAAAGTGCAAGCAATTGTGACGAGGTCTTATGAATTGTAGGACAAAGAAGGCTTTCTGGTAAGAGTCGGGTCTGGTGGACTTCATCTGTTCTTATACTTTCCCCTAAATTTTTATAGATCATAATTTGTTTGCATAGTTTAAGCAATAGCATAAAGAATTTCTTCACAATAATTTATTGCATTCTAAAAACAGATTGCATAATGTTTCTCACTATGATTGCATAAAAAATGAGTAAATTGTTACCGAATCAGAAATTTCACGAACCAAAAAAATGTTCAAGAGATGAAAGAAGGAAGAAGATTCATAGTTGAGATCGAAATAAACCCAAGTTCGAAAATGTGGAAGAAGCTGTGGAAATCTTGGAAGATATGCTATTGCCATGGAGATTACCGTTCTCTGAACACGCCGAAGAACATAATGATTCCATTTGCGCACTCAAAAACACCGCAGATGTCGAGAATCCGGGATATTCCAGTGGAAGATTCGGCAATGGAGATTTGAAGTTAAGCATGTCGATCACCTGTTTGATCGAAGGCCGCAGACAGAAATCCGGTTGAGCGCAAGCAAGTCCGACGATCAACAGTTGCTTCATCTCATCTCTTTTGAAAATTTGGCGCAATTTCGGATCCGCGGCCTCAATCACACTCCTTCGTCGGTAATAATCCCACACCCATTCAACTAGCTTTATCAAACATTTCCTTCCGTCTTCTCTCGTTTCACCTAGGGCTCGTTTTCCGCAGGCGATTTCCAAACACACGATGCCGAAACTGTAGATGTCGGATTCTTTACTTGAAATGCTGCTTTGCAGGTACTCTGGTGCTACATAACCTTCTGTTCCTCGTAGCGTGGTGGATGTTGATGGTTTTCCACGGTCTACGAGTTTAGCAAGCCCGAAATCGCCGAGTTTCGCGTTGAATTCGGCATCTAGTAAGATATTGCTTGATTTTATATCTCTGTGTAGAACGTATGGATCTTGTTCTTCTTGTAGATAGTGTAGTGCCGAGGCTAAACCTACTGTGATTCTGTATCTGTGATTCCATGTTAGGAGATTGTTTTGCTGAAATAGATGGAAATCTAAGCTCTTGTTTGGCATGAATTTATAGACTATGAGATATTCTTCGTTTCTGCTGCAGCACCATCCAATTAGTTCTACCAAGTTCTTATGCCTTAATTTGCTGATTGTTTTCACTTCTGATGCAAATTCTCTTGAGCCTTGATGGAGATTGTTTGGACTGATTCTCTTCACTGCTACATCAAGTTCCCTGTTGTCTAGAAATCCTCTGTATACCTTCCCGAAACCTCCTTCTCCCAATAGATTTTCATCACTGAATTTGTTGGTTGCTTCTGATAGATCTTTATATGAAATCTTCCTTGGCCCTGTTTCGTTCTCAAGATCTTCCTCTTGTTCCTTTCTCAGGCTTCTTCTTCTACTGGTTCTCTTCATGATCCATATCCAAAACC